AAAGTGAAATTCAAAAGTGCTCCGTCCGTTACAATCTAAACCAACCAGCCAGATGTCGACAAAAATAGTTTTCATCAAAGTTTTATTACTATGATACAAGATGAATAGTGATCAAATAGCATAGAAAATAGAGCAAAAGACGCTCTATCTTTTTATAAGAAAAGAAAAGTTTTTCGAGCTTTCCATAAGCAAAAAAGGCACCACTGTCACTACTTTTTGACTGCCCTAAGTACATAGTGCTTTTTGTTTCCAGAAATAGTCAAATACTTAACGTACTTCTTAGTATATTGGGCTGATATTTTTATCTGTGATAAATTAGTATTCATGGCTTACATTTACGAAAGAACTATTATCAAAAATTGCCTTAGTGTATTTACAGCTGACTTTAAGAAGAAAATCTAAACTGCCAAGAATCATGAAAAAACGAATATTGTAGTTTTACCAACAAATTCTTGCTCTTTATAACTAAAACTCGAAGAGTATACTGAGTAACAAGACATATATGTGTAGTATAAGTATGAACGAAGCGACACTAATGTGAATTAATCGAAAAAATTGTATATCAGTTCTATTTGGCTATGAGAATGAACCCATTATTGTTTATAGCTCGCGTAAGGTCAAAATTCGTCGTTGTTAAAGTCAGTTGTAAATACAGGGTGTCCGGAAAGTCATTTAACAAAAGTTTTTTCGTATATCTATGCTGTTTCATTTAACATTATCAACAAATTTTTTTTAAATTATAGGCGAATATACCGAGTTTTTATTTATTCGAGCAACTTTAGATACTATCCTGCAAAACTATTATCTTTGATCGAAATAGAAAAATTTTGCTATTTTTGTGAGATGCGAGTAGCACATTATGCAACATTTTTTCTTTAATTATTTAGTCTTTCTGTAGTAGCTCGCTGTAAATTTTTCTTCAAAGAAAAGGTGTAAAAAGTTTTCAATATACATATTCTTGTAGACCTCGAGAAGCTCCATCTAACTATATGAAAATATCAAAGAAAAAAACTTCATCAAATTTTGAAATACTCGCATGTCATAAAAATAGCAAAATTTTTGTATTTCGATCAAAGATAATAGTTTTGCAGGATAATATCGAAAGTTGCTCGAATAAATAAAAACTTAGTATATTCGCCTATAATTAAAAAAATTGTTGATAATGTTAAACGAAACAGCATAGATATACGAAAAAACTTTTGTTAAATGACTTTTCGGACACCCTGTACTTCAAAAAAACTGTTGACAATATTTCTTTTATGAATATGACCTATGAATACTATTTTACTAACAAGACTTTCATAAAAAATAATAATGTTATGGATTGATGAAGTTCTAAAAACGCTCTACACATTACAGAAGACAGTGGCGGATTTAGGGGGGGCGCTTGGGGCGATCGCCCCCTATTCGAAAAAAAATTTTCGATTTTTCCCAGCAGAAAAGTCTTAAAAGTAGAGTACATATTACTACTAATGAACTTCAAAACTCACTTTTTGATCAAAATCGCCACATATCTATCAAATCGCCCCTTATCAAAAAAATCCTAGATCCGCCGCTGACAGAAGATAAAGTAAACATTAATTAAAGATTTTGATTGAGGTAGATTTGAGATTTAGCCTCTTTTTTTTTATATTGATTAAGTGATACACATGATGTTTGAGCAATATTCATTGATTTGCGGTTGAGCTCAAGGAAATTTTGATTAAATCTAATACAAGAGTTTACAGAAGTTTTATCATAATTTATAGCCCATATTTCAATGTTGTTTTTGTTTTGAACATTGTTTTCTATCTTTTTGATTTTGGAGTGGGTTGTGAGGGGTGGGGGAAGCATATGTATGTGGAACAGGTCTTAAACTGTGATATAGGGTGTGGGTGTGGGTGGGTGTGAGTGTGGGGGTGGGGGTGGGGGTGGGTGGATGTGGGTGTGGGTGTGGGTGTAGGTATATTTAGAAACACACACCCACACCCTAAAATTCTATCGAATATTTTTTTTCTTAATGAAAACTATTCTTGTCAAAAAAAATCATTCAAACAAAAGTAAGCATTCTTTTCTCTTTCCCAAGCTTTGGTTATAACCGAATCCTCTCTATTGATTAAATAATTTTCTATAATTACCTAATTTCTGTCTTAATCATATATATACTAATCAGTATTCAGATGTTTTTTAAATCATTTTGTACATATGTATCATACAAAATGTTATTACATTGAGAAGAAGTTTAAATAACTTACTCGATGTAGTTGTAACTGATAGTTGTGCTGCTGCCAGTTTGATGTCATTCATAGCCAATGCTATTGGTTGATCATTATCGTCATCAATTTCAATCAACTGCACAATGTGTGAACAGTTCGATTGTTTTAATGGATCACTCTTCACGCGAAATTGCGAACCCATTCGTAAAATGACTTCATCTTCATGTTCATATTCTGTGTATCCAGACACTTTTTTTCCATTAATAGCTTCTATTAGGAAAAGTGTTGCATTTTCTTGATTGCCAAGAAAAGCTTCGATAACCTTCACTGATAACGAACATGAACTAATACTCCACCATGGTACAATTTGGTTTTTGGTGAAATTCTTACCAATATCAAGTCGTACACCTCTCCATACTGGTTCTTTGACAGTGGGTAATTTATCCAATGCTATATCAAATAACTTTAGATATGAAAACCATACCTTCAATGCTTGTCGATTTTCGGATCGTAAAGCTCTATTTAATACACGATACAAGCTAGTATCACCCCATTCCATAGTATAGATGTAAACAGCAGCCGATTCATCATGTGTAAGTCCATGTTCTGACGGGTTATGACAGTATTGTTTAGCTATCTTTATGTAATCAGCTAATTTATCAATTTGAGACTTGATAGATTCAAGTGCTTTTTCAATTGGAACAAGTTTTTCACTTCGATAACCATAAACAGGTGGAAGTTTCTTAAATGAAGTATCAATATCACCAAAACGATTCATCATGTGCGTATTTTGTATGTTGGTGAATGTCGATGATAGTAAGGTTCTTATGAATTCGAACTGATTGATACAAGAGTACTCTTGATTGGTTTTTCTATAGAAGATTAAAAGCACTAATATAATGTCAGTATTTCCTGTTTCTGTACAATAGCAGAAACATGAACGATTTCTCTTGTTTTTGTAATAATTTGTTCCTAATTCTGGGGGTGTACATGTGCTGGTATGGATGCGGATAGGTTTGAGAATAGTGGGTTTGAAGATGTACGGACCTCAGCGAATGTGCTTGTCCATTCCTCTTTATTCTCAAATCCAAACTGACAGGCCCATCCAACATGCCCGCACCTACCAACCACCCACACCCACATTCCCACTCTAGGGACTCTGAGAAATACTTGGAATCCTAAAGAACTGAAGG